AGAGCGAGGATGAAGGGATCCGGCGGTGAGAGCGAGGATGGAGGAATCCGGCGGGGAGAGCGAGGATGGAGAAATCCGGCGGGGAGAGCGAGGAGGAAGGAATCCGGCGGGGAGAGCGAGGAGGAAGGAATCCGGCGGGGAGAGCGAGGAGGAAGGAATCCGGCGGGGAGAGCGAGGAGGAAGGAATCCGGCGGGGAGAGCGAGGATGGAGGAATCCGGCGGGGAGAGCGAGGAGGAAGGAATCCGGCGGGGAGAGCGAGGAGGAAGGAATCCGGCGGTGAGAGCGAGGAGGAAGGAATCCGGCGGGGAGAGCGAGGAGGAAGGAATCCGGCGGGGAGAGCGAGGATGAAGGAATCCGGCGGGGAGAGCGAGGAGGAAGGAATCCGGCGGGGAGAGCGAGGAGGAAGGAATCCGGCGGGGAGAGCGAGGAGGAAGGAATCTGGCGGGGAGAATGCATTTGCTACACAGGCACTTGGTGAATAATTTATATACTGCACTTTGCAGACTTCACAGCCTCTTTTACTGTGGCTTCCCAGCATCCCCCCGGTGACCCCTTTTCCGATTTTTATTCCCCGTCAGACATGCATTATACATATAGATAGGGCTCTCACCGTGACCTCGCAGATGGGCCAAACCAACTGGGAAATAGTTAACCACTTAAACTTCAAAAAAAAAAATTGCCATTTATGTTCGTGCAACAAGCCTGCGCCCCGCTCACGGGGAGGAGATGAAGGGATTTACGGAGAGCGGCTCATTCGGCGATGGCATGGAAATCATTCCGGAAACAATGCAGAGCGTGGAAAGCATTCTCTCTGTTCTTGTGAATGATCGTCCTTTATGTGCGTACCTGTAAGTGTTGTTTTGTTTACAGGCCAGTGCCTCTCAACGTGGGCATGATCATGGTCCATGGGTGTACCACCATCCCTCCACGTGGTATAATGCACTTATGCACTGCATTTGTTTTCCCCACATTCTTCCCTAATCTTTACTGCAAGCAGCATCCTCTTACCTCCAGAGCAAGCAGCGCACCCAGCTTTTCCCAAATTCCTCCTTTGGGCAGTATACTTTTACATACAGAGCCATCACTTCACCCGGCTCTGCCCAAATCCCTCCTCTGAGCAGGATCCTCTTACATACAAAGCAATCACTGCACTTGACACTGCAAAGTCCCTCCTCTGAGCAGTACCCTTGTACATACAGAGAATTCATTGCACCTGGCTCTGTATAAGTCCCTCCTCTGAGCAGTATCCTCTTACATGCAGACCAATTACTGCACCCGACTCTGCTCAGGCCCCTCCTCTGAGCAATTTCCTCTTACATACAAAGCAATCCCTGCACTTGACACTGCAAAGTCCCTCCGCTGAGCAGTACCCTTTTATATACAGAGAAGTCATTGCACCTGGCTCTGTACATGCCCTTCCTCTGAGCAGTATCCTCTTACATAAAGACCAATTATGCACTCGACTCTGCCCAAGCCCCTCCTCTGAGCAATTTCCTGTTACATACAGAGCAATCACTGCACCTGAGACTGCAAAGTTCCTCCTCTGAGCAGTATCCTTTTTTTTACAGAGACCTCATTGCACCTGGCTGTTTATAAGTCCCTCCTCTGAGCAGTATCCTCTTACATGCAAAGCAATCACTGCACTTCACACTGCAAAGTCCCTCCTCTGAGCAGTACTCTTTTACATACAGAGAAGTCATTACATCTGGCTCTGTAGAAGCCCTTCCTCTGAGCAGTATCCTCTTACATAAAGACCAATTAATGCACTCGACTCTGCCCAAGCCCCTCCTCTGAGGAATTTCCTCTTACATACTGAGCAATCACTGCACATGAGACTGCAAAGTTCCTCCTCTGAGCAGTATCATTTTTTTTTACAGAGACCTCATTGCACCTGGCTCTGTATAAGTCCCTCCTCTGAGCAGTATCCTCTTACATGCAAAGCAATCACTGCACTTCACACTGCAAAGTCCCTCTTCTGAGCAGTACTCTTTTACATACAGAGAAGTCATTACATCTGGCTCTGTAGAAGCCCTTCCTCTGAGCAGTATCCTCTTACATAAATACCAAACACTGCACTTGACTCTGCCCAAGCCCCTCCTCTCAGGAATTTCCTCTTACATACAGAGCAATCACTGCACATGAGACTGCAAAGTCCCTCCTCTGAACAGTATCCTTTTTCATACAGATAAGTCATTCACCTGGCTCTGTATAAGTCCCTCCTCTGAGCAGTATCCTCTTACATAAATACCTATTACTTCACAAGACACTACCCAAGCCCCACATCTGAGCAATTTCCTGTTACATACAGAGCAATCACTGCACCTGAGCCTGCAAAGTTCCTCCCCTGAGCAGCATCCTTTTGTTATACAGAGAATTCATTGCACTTGGCTTTTTATAAGTCCCTCCTCTGAGCAGCTCTTACAAAAAAAACAATTACTGCGCCCATCTCTGCCTTTCCTCTGAGCAGTATCCTCTTGCATAAAGACCAATTAATGCACTCGACTCTGCCCAAGCCCCTCCTCTGAGCAATTTCCTGTTACATATAGAGCAATCACTGCATCTGAGACTGCAAAGTTCCTCCTCTGAGCAGTATCATTTTTTTTTTACAGAGACCTCATTGCACCTGGCTCTGTATAAGTCCCTCCTCTGAGCAGTATCCTCTTACATGCAAAGCAATCACTGCACTTCACACTGCAAAGTCCCTCTTCTGAGCAGTACTCTTTTACATACAGAGAAGTCATTACATCTGGCTCTGTAGAAGCCCTTCCTCTGAGCAGTATCCTCTTACATAAATACCAAACACTGCACTGGACTCTGCCCAAGCCCCTCCTCTCAGGAATTTCCTCTTACATACAGAGCAATCACTGCACATGAGACTGCAAAGTCCCTCCTCTGAACAGTATCCTTTTTCATACAGATAAGTCATTCACCTGGCTCTGTATAAGTCCCTCCTCTGAGCAGTATCCTCTTACATAAATACCTATTACTTCACAAGACACTACCCAAGCCCCTCCTCTGAGAAATTTCCACTTACATACAGAGCGATCACTGCACCTGAGACTGCAAAGTCCACCTGGGTCTCCTACCATAGCGTCCCTTTTCATTCAGATGGTGACATTTAGTGTGAGCGGACACAGTTGTACCCGGTGCCTGAAGGTCAGCTTGGATTTGTCTGGAAGTTGATGGAGGTTCTTTATCCACCACTCCAACAATCCTTCCTTGCAATCTTTGATCAGTTTTTCTCTTTCATCCACGTCCAGGGAGATTAGCTACAATGCCATGGGCTGTACACTTCTTGACAATGTTGTGCACAGTGGACACAAGAACATGAAGATCTCAGGAGATGGACTTGTAACCTTGAGATTATCCACAATTTTTGTTCTCCAATCCTCAGACAATTCTTTGCTTCTCTTTCTCTCCTCCATGCTCCATATGGCACACAAAGAAAGGTGGAGGCCATTTGTCACCATTGTCCCTGGTTGTCAGTGGATTTCTAGATTGCCATCACCTGGTCATTGATACGGGGGAGTTTAATGACAAATTACAGGAACGTCACAGACTTGGAATGCAATTATTTCCTACAATTTTGAGAAGGTGACAGTAACTTAGTCTAGTCCATTTGTGGAGTTTTGCATGGAATGTGTCAGATTTGGCTTTTGGTTTCTCCACTTTTTTGCGTCATACTGATACAAACCAAAGAAATAAACCTGAGAATGGTGAAACATTTGTAATTACAACAATTTTCTGGGCAAAGTGGTACGTTATCTAACAGAAATGCGGGGGGGACTATGCAGTACCGTCGTGAGGCAGGTGCGGCGGGTGCGCGCTGCACAAGGTGACACCTACTGCACGGGGTGACACCGGACCCACTCCTCGAAAAGGTAAGTTGTAAAGCAAGGCGACGATCCCCGCAGGATGGATCAGATTTGCGGTTTGGGGAGCATAATGGATTGGACTCCGATCCATTATGCTCAATTCGCAGATCCGATCGATCCTGCGCGGATCGTCGGCATGCAACCTATATGGGGTGACACCGGACCCGCTCCACGAAAAGGTAAGTTGTACAGAAAGCTGACAATCCCCGCAGGATGGATCGGATCTGCGGATTGGGGAGAATAATGGATCGGAGTCTGATCCATTATGCTCGATCTGCAGATCCGATCTATTCTGCGGGGATTGTCAGAGAGGGTGTCACCAAGTGTTATCGCACCGGGTGACACCAACCCTAGGGACACCCCTGGACCATTTGGAAACTCGGACACTGCCCGAGGGCCCGGGGTCAGTAGGGGGCCCCATGAGATGCTCTGTACATTTTTCATAGGCTTTTTTGAGTTTGGGCAAGGACACAGGGGCCCCATGATCCCCTATTGCCCGGGGGCCCCATGAGTTGTCAGTCCGCTCCTGCCCCTACCATTGGTTCACCATATCCACAACACATCTGGAGCAGTCCTAGAGGCTGGTCAGCAGCTCTGAGGAAAGGGACTACTCCCCCCGAAACGCGTCAGCCATTTGACCGCATTTGGAACACCTTGCTTGCCGTTGTGGCCATCTCCATAATGCACATGCTTGTTAGATACACACTTCATCTGTGAGTATGTTTTTTATCCTTTATACCTTTGAATAGACCTTGGATAATGCAGTATAGATACTTTTTGATTCCCCAACATTAGGCCTTACATCATTTTGAATTCAGTTGTATCTTTGTAGCCCCGATATGGGGTGTTCTCTGACCGAAGTTTTATCTTACCCTGGAATATATCTTCATCTGGACTATTCATTTTTGGTGTTGTGTTTCAATCCTGTACTTCCTCAGGGAACGTGATGATGTCACTGCAGAATGGGATTAGTAGAGGCGGATTAGAGGGTTGACGACACTACTGCGAAGTCAGCACCATTATCGGCCCTTCCCTTCACAAGAAATAAAGGCTACACAGGGGCATTGGCAGGACCAACAAGTACTGTAACTACTCAGAACTCAAGGAGAGAATGAAAAATGTTTAACCCCCCTGGCGGTATTCCCGAGTGTAGCTCAGGGTAAAGTTTCAGTACCACAAGCGGTTACCCCCCCCCGTGCTACACTCGGGCTTACCATGCGGCGTTGCTCCGTGATCCCTTGGTCACTTACCTTGTCCTGCGCTCCCGCGATGTCTCCCCTGCAGCGTCCCCCCGGCAATGTCCATCTGTCATCTGGGTTCCGTTCCCTGCGACGTCGGGACGTACGGGGGACGGAACTGGTGGGAAATTTGAAAATGACAAAAAGTGACATTCACTAAATACACTAAAATCACATAGTATAACATTCCTGTATCAAACCATTTCACATACATTTTGTCCCGAGTGCTTTGTCCGGCGCCCTGCCTGCATTTTTACTGTTCTTTCTGCCTGGAAACTGAGAAACGTCCATGGCGTCCAAAAAGCGTCCCTTTAGGTCAGACGCGGTTTTAGACCGGCTAGAGAACAGCGATAGTAAATCAGAACCACTTGCAGAATTGAGTGATAATGATTGGTGGGGGAAATTCCTCATCACACACTGAAAACGATTCTGCGACTGAACTCAGCGATGTGCGAACTTGGCGCTCTATTTCACATTTCAGTGTTTTTGGTTTGATTATATATTGAATTCTATTTATTATTATTATTTTTTATGATTAATTATTATATTATAATTTATGATTTTGTGTTTCAAGTTTTATCCTCCCCGGGATGTTTACTAGACTCTTGTTCGGACAGATTTCAGTGAGTTATTCCTAAGAATGACAGGCCGACAATAAAAAACGCCAAATTTCCATGCAAAATAATGGTACCGCTTTCAGCAGCACCAAAAATCTGAAATATTCAGACCGCCAGGGAAGTTAATAGATTGGCTATTTAAAGCATGTAGTATAGTTGGAAACAATTTGCATATCTGTGTTTCTCTTGTCGCAAAATGAAGCATAAAGAATCACCCCGCTTAATAATTTAACAAGGCAGTCTAATTTAAACAGATCAGGGGTAAGATAGAGAGGGGGAGGGCAGTCCATAACTAATTTGAATTTTGTTTTTTTTTTAAACAGCATTTTTTGATTTGTGACCTTTGGCAAATATTTGTGTTATAGTTCAGTGGTTCTCAACCACCATTTATTTATTTATTTCAGGTACTTATACAGCACCTTCATTTTGTGCAGCACTTTACATATATATTGCACACTCACATCAGTCCCTTACTCTCTAGAGGCGTACAATCTAAGGTCCCTAACTTACATTCATACATATACATACTAGGGCTAATTAACCTACCAGCATGTCTTTGGAGTGTGCGAGGAAACTGGAGTACCCAGAGGAAACCCACGCAAGCACAGGGAGACCATGCAAACTCCAGGCAGGGGGCACCGTGGTTGGGATTCGAAACAGCAACCCGAGTACTGCCAGGTGGAAATGCTAACCATTTAGCCAATGTGCTGCCCATGCCTCCCTCTTGTTGAGGCATGGCTTCCTCTCTGCTCCAACAGTTACTGCTGTCACACCAGGCTTGGACCGGCCCACCAGAGAGCCCACATGCACTTTGATACAGATAAAAAAAATACTAAGAACTTTACTTTTTTAAGAATGACAGTATGCTTCCTGAAATGACCCCATGGGAGGATTGATCTGCATCCTAATGATCTGAAATAGTTTCTACACAGGAAGACGTCATTAGAAGAGGCATCAGTGGACCATGCATGGGTGGACCTTTCCTAAAGTAAGTTAAGAACCACCATTCACATTGATAATTGGATGGGCCATGAGCCCACTGATACCAGTGATTTTGGAGGACTATCTTTTCCTGGGGTTCACTATTCTACAGACATCAAAAATTTGGGGAGCTATATTTCCCTGGTGGCCACTCTACCATTGACCCGAGTAATTTGAGGTGTGATATTGTCCTAGAGGCCACTAGCCAATTGACACCAATGCAATGAGGGGTTATTCTCCACTGGTGGTTACATTCCAACTCAAGCCAATGATTTTCTACTGAGGGCCACAATCCAGAAGACCAATGATTTTGGGAGCTTTTCTTCCCAGATGACCACTATTCCATTGATCCATTAATTTGAGGAATATAGCCTCGTAGGTGCAGCTATCCCATGGACACCAATGATTTGAGGAGCTATCCTCCTCTGGTGGCCCACTCACACCAATGATTTGGAGCTATTCACCTTTGAGGACCATAATTTCAAACACATCAATGATTTTGGGAACTATTCTTAACTGATGGCCACTCTACAATTGACCCCAGTGATTTGAGGTGCTATACTCTCCTAGGGGAAACTATTCTATGGACATCAATGAAATGAGGCGCTATCCTCTACTGGTGGCTACATTCCCACTCACACCAATGATTTTGGTGCTGTTATCCTAAGAGGGCCATGATCCCGAAGACACCAATGATTTGGGGAGCTATTCTTCCCGGATGGCCACTCTACTATTGACCCCAGTGATTTGCGGGACTATACTCTCCTAGGGGTAACTATCCTGAGAACACCAATGAATAGAGGGCTATCCTCCACTGTTGGCCACATTCCCACTCACACCAGTGATTTGAGGGCTATTCCTCCTTGAGTGCCACAATTCCAAAGACAAAAATGATTTTAGGAGCTTTTCTTCCTGAATGGCCACTCTACCATTGACCCAATAATTTGTGGAGCTATACTCTCCTACGGGCAACTATCCTACAGACACCAATGAATTGAGGAGCCATCCTCCACTGCTGGCCACATTACCACCAAACCAATGTTTTAGGTGCTATTCTCCTCCAAGGACTACTATCCTGAAGACACCAGTGATTGGAGGGGGGCTGTTCTTTGACATTTTGTCTATTCAAATTACAGTAACTGATTAATTTGACTGATTGCTCCTTTTAAATAGAATTTAATTACACAATTTGCATTCCTATACTTTAATTGTATGAGTAAAAATTTTTGTTTTTTGCTGTTGGGGAATTGAAAGTTTTGGAAGAATTTATGGTGCCATTGACTCACTAAGGTTGGTTTGCGGGACTATACTCTCCTAGGGGTAACTATCCCGAGAACACCAATGAATTGAGGGCTACCCTCCACTGGTGGCCACGTTCCCACTCACACCAGTTATTTGAGGGCTATTCCTCCTTGAGGGCCACAATCCAAAGACACAAATGATTTTAGGAGCTTTTCTTCCTGAATGGCCACTCTACCATTGACCTATTAATTTGTGGAGCTAGGGGCAACTATCCTACAGACACCAATGAATTGAGGAGCCATCCTCCACTGCTGGTTTTGGAAGAATTTACGGTGCCATTGACTCACTAAGGTTGGTTTGCGGGACTATACTCTCCTAGGGGTAACTATCCCGAGAACACCAATGAATTGAGGGCTATCCTCCACTGGTGGCCACGTTCCTACTCACACTAGTGATTTGAGGGCTATTCCTCCTTGAAGGTCCACAATTCCAAAGACACAAAGGATTTTAGGAGCTTTTCTTCCTGAATGGCCACTCTACCATTGACCCATTAATTTGTGGAGCTATACTCTCCTAGGGGCAACTATCCTACAGAAACCAATGAATGGGGAGCCATCCTCCACTGCTGGCCACATTCCCACCAAACCAATGTTTTAGGTGCTATTCTCCTCCAAGGACTACTATCCTGAAGACACCAGTTATTGGAGGGGGGCTGTTCTTTGACATTTTGTCTATTCAAATTACAGTAACTGATTATTTTGACTGATTGCTCCTTTTAAATAGAATTTAATTACACAATTTGCATTCCTATACTTTAATTGTATGAGTAAAAAGTTTTGTTTTTTGCTGTTGGGGAATTGAAGGTTTTGGAAGAATTTACGGTGCCATTGACTCACTAAGGTTGGTTTGCGGGACTATACTCTCCTAGGGGTAACTATCCCGAGAACACCAATGAATTGAGGGCTATCCTCCACTGGTGGCATTGACTCACTGAGGTTGCAACCAACTGTTGTAGTCAAAGCGTTGTTTATTTTAAAATAGTCGCTGGAAGTAAGCCGTGCTGTCCTCCAGCCACACATTTCTCTCCCGTATCAGATGCTGACTTTACCGAGATATTTCATTATTTTGTCATATCTTGCACGGGGCACTTTGGGAAATAAACTGGTGTGCGGGAGTCTCCTGAGAGCGGAAGGAAATTAAACCATGTGCTGCAGTTTTCCAGCATTGACAGAGGACAGATAACGGACAGCTTATCGGTTGGGTGATGTGTTACTTATTACATTATTAGGAACACTTCTATGATGTCCTTACTGATGGCTTATTCCAGATTCCTGGAACGGAGCCGGGTAGAAAAAAAAATGAACACATTTTGTAAATGTTACACTTATCTTACATTCCATAGTTCTCTATATGCATTTCCAGGCGGGAATATGGTCAGGTTCACACATCAGAGCTATCTGTAATATAACACATTTTACAGCAGATCAAAAGCTTTTAGTATCAACATTTCAGAGTTTTTGTTGCACCTTTGTGGATATTAAAGGTTTTCGCATAAGAGAATTTAGATTTTAAAAGTGTCTCTGTTTCCACCTAAATATAACATTACCTCTGGTCTCTTTTTTTTTAATGGCCCCCAGCTAAGTGTTAGAGAAAAAAAAATCCACCACTGTCCCCTGCAGTACCACTTCCTTGCCTCAAAGTGTCCTCAGTCTTCCAGTTTGAATGACACTTAGCTGGTGGAGACTGAGAACATAGGGTGAGTGCGGAACTCCTCCCCGAGGAGGTGTCACCACGGCATCCTTCATTCACACTTTCTGCATCAATAACCTCCTGCCACCCACATAATGCATACACTCACTTTATTGGGTACACCTTAATAGTGCTAAGAAAATCTCCCCCTGCACCACCACCACCAGCCTGAACTGATGATACAATGCAGGGCGGATCATTGCTTTCATGTTGTTTACACAAAATTCTAACATTCCTATCCTAATGTCGCAGCTCGAGACTCATCAGACCAGGCAATGTTTTTCCAATCTTCTATTGTCCAATTTTGGTGATCCTGTGAGAATTGTAGCCTCCGTTTCCTGTTCTCAGCTGACAGGATTGGCACTCGGTGTGGTCTTCTGCTGCTGTAGTCCATCTGCTTCAAGGGGGGATATGCTCTCTGTGTATAATACATAAGGGGGGATATGATCTCCATGTATAATACATAAGGGGGATATGATCACCATGTATAATACATAAGGGGGGATATGATCACCATGTATAATACATAAGGGGGGGATATGATCTCCATGTATAATGCATAAAGGGGGATGTGATCTCCATGTATAATACATAAGGGGGGATGTGATCTCCATGTATAATACAT